CTTCTTAGGAATCTACACAATGATTCTACCTCGTTCACCCATCACAACCATGCAATCTAAACCATTCCCCGCAGGGCACATCACAAACACTTTAGAAAGGGCGTATACTATCTCCCACGACATTGACGAATCCTTCCTAGAAAAGGTATATCATCCCTCAGCCTCGAACTTACGTAAACAATAGTGGTTGCTCTCACAAACAACAATCCACTACAAGTGTTAGTCAACCATCTCACCCTCACCGGGATAGACTAACCTCTAACACTCTACGGTAGCTAGCAAAGGTAATTCAAGTCCATCACAACAAACTATACAAGAGATGAAACCACAACTTTCTCAACAATCACAATCTTAACCAATCACAATTTTCGTTAACAATTCAAGTATCACAAGTGCACAATTCTCAATATACTACACTACTAACGGAATTAAAATATACAAGAGATCATCTCAAGAAAACATTCACAATTTTGATATTAAAATTTTAGGGTTTAGCCAAAAATCATAATTTTTTAAAACAAGAACAAAGATTAAATGAAAACATGATTTAATCAAGAATAGGAATTTAGAAATCAAGAATCCATATGAATTTCACAATAGAACATGTATTTTACAAAAAAACTAGGGTTTTGGAAATTCAAGAACATGTATTTTGTTCAAGATTATGTTCCAATGATAAAGAAACCAAGAACTTATATATATCTATCATATAATTATTAAGAAGATTGAAATCATACATAATTATACCTTAAGTCTCAATGAAAGAACTTGAGAAGAATCCCCTACCTCAATTTTGTAGTTTGTGTGTAAACCTAGCGTGTTTGATTCGTTCCAACATAAGAATCCCTTTGAGTCTTGTGTTTCTCCTTCTCTCTTGCACTCTAGGATTGCCTAGGGTTGAAAACTAATGAAAAATAGCTAAAGAGACGCCCTTATAGTTATTTATAGGGTGAAAAACGAAGAAAAATACTAAAACTGACCGAGCCGTTTTTAGGGTAGCGTCTGAACGGTCCTTGGGCATCCAGACAGTTCAAACTCACTATTTTTTATGAAAAATAAAGTTTTTTCGGGTAAGGAGTACCATTCAAATGGTGCTTGGAGCGTTCGGATGGAGGCAACTTTTTGTCCCAACTTCAGGAGCAGTTTTCACCTATTTAGAAGTCGATTCAAGAAATTTTCATGAATTACACTTTGTAGCCCTTGAAATTTAGTTTTTGTCCAACAATCAGCTCAAGCGGGAGTTAGGATTAAAACGTTATGGCCAAAATACTAAGGTAGTGTCAAATTCTTTCTTACCCGAATTCTTTTTAAAATGCGTTTTAACTCTGGAATACTTCCTAACTTCTAATACACCCCATGTTACCTCTCCCAAGCTTTCTCGACCTTCCGGATCCAATGATAACTTTATTTTGACCTAAAAATATTTAAAAACCTACCTAATCACTATTCTTAAGCTTAAACACCTTGAAAGAAAAGTTTGACACGAAAGTCAATTCATCCGAAACACAAACTTCATGATCAATATTTTAACAATTATTCGAGGTTTCTACAATCCTTTTATTCATCCTAAGAGAAATATTAATACGATATTATTCTTATTTAATTATAGTACAAGGTCTTACAGATAAAAAATTTCACCTTCTTTAACAGAGAAATTCATTATTTGACGTCTTAATGTGTTAGTACGATGCACACGAAAAAAATTTGTAAAAGCTCAGTTTGCAAAGCTTGCCAACTTTTTATGGAATTAGCTCTTAAAGATTTAAGCCACTGTTTATTTTTATCTTTTAATGAAAAAGAAAAAAATTTAATTTGGCCATTTCAGATTTATCTTGCAAAATTTCACACACTTTTTTAAATTCTTTCATATGCACATAAGGGTTTTCAGATTTCAAACCATGGAACTGTGGTAATAATTATATTATCCCTACCTTAATATTAAGATTTGGAACATCTGTTGGAAAAGAAAAACATGATGTGACATTAGTTCGTGTGAGATGTAAATATTCTCATAATGGTCGAACATTTTGAACTACTTCCTTCTCTCTAGGATCTTGTTCCCTTGGTACGTTTTGAGTCATACTTAATTCAAATAATGCTTGTGTAAATGAAGATGATGAAGACAAAGGAGATGACTGATTTACAAAACCTGCTGATGAATGAATAGACATAAACTATTAAAAGTAAACAAACAATCTATAAACATATAATACAAGTAAACAACTTCTCTATGTTATTTAATTTTAAATTATTGGAACTCCCCCAGCAACAGTGAAGTGATTGAATTGTAGTTTTCTCGGTTTAAGTCTAAGATAGATCCCATGAAGAGTATTAATAATTGGAATTTAAAATAAGAACAGTGAAGTTATTGTTAAAGTAGTGTAACATGAGATAGCTTGTGATGTGAGCTTAGATTGATAACTAGTCTAACTACATGAAATGTGTAAATAGATTGTTAAGACACAATAATATGAAAAGTATCCTTCAGTTTAAGAATTTCATATTGATGAGTGGGTTTTATACTTATGAATTGAGTACTTTCGGCTTAATAAAATTGTAAGTTTTCAGTTATTTTATGTTCATTTTTATTTGTTTTGTGTGTTTTGATGTTATTTTATAGGGATGATCATTTGGAAGAAATCATGATCATTTGAGAGAAAACAAGATCAAAATTAGAGTCTAAGTGTTGAATTTTTGAAGAGGAAGTTAAAGGGCATTGTAATGGAGTAATTATAGCATAAATAATAGATTTTAGAGCCTTGCAACTAAGTGTGGATGAGTGGTGAAAATATGGACACATTACATGAGGATTTAGAGGCCTAAAAGTGAAAGAAATCAAAGAGGTATTGGTGTTTGGTAACATAGGCATCAACACCCACACTATTTTGTAGTAGTACCTCGGTTTTTCGCCTTTTTGACCATGACCCACTTCGAATAAGACAAAGTGAAAAACATGAAAGTTTTAGATCTGGATGTCTTCTATCTTGTTGCCACATTTCAGCTCAATTGGACAATTGTATCAAAAGTTATGATGATTCTACAAAAATTGGTCCGGAGTAGGCAGCCTACCAAGGAGCGCACCCCAGTGCCATCCTACTGTCCATTCAGTGCCTTTTCAGCGACCCCGCGCTTGTGTTAGTCCGTGACACGAATTTTGACTTGTTTTTGACCCGAAATTGGATTCTAAAACTATACATATGCTAGGGTTTGTGTGGGGATGATATATTTTGACTTTTGGGGGCTGAAAACATTGGAGAAAGACCAAGGAATTGGAAGAAAATTGAAGACAAGAAGATTGGTCTTGAAGGCTAGAGAAGGATTGAAGATTGCACCTAAATTTTCATTCTTTCCTCTTACTTTTATTTCTTATTTTTATAAGATGTTGTTTAAGTTTAGAATGATGTTTTTCAATTACATTATGAACTAAACTCTTATTAAGATTGCAACGGAACCTATGTCTAGTTAATTTAATCTACTCTCGTTTCTAGTTCTTATTGATCTTATATGAGTTGTTTGTCATATTTTGTGATTGATGTATGATTGTGTGGTCAACAATTAGTTTGATAACCTAGATGAAATTGGGAGATGAATTCTAGGTTTAGATTTGAATATGATGACATGCGTCTGGTTAATTTTTCTTAGGATTGAATTGTTGGGTTTGTGTATAGGATAGAAATATACCTATATGCCGTGTGTAACTTTTATGAGAGTTTGGACTTAATGAATCTATTCCAACTTATTTTGCATAGGAATATAGTAATTTAATTGGAATAGATAATTTTATTTAACTATCGGAAGAGGTTTGATAAATAACTTTGAGTTCTCAGTTAACAACTTATTTTAATCAATTGACTAGAAAGAAAGTAGAAAGATTTATACGAACCATTAGGGGAAGTTGTAATCTTAACTTCTTTCATCTCGTAAATTCAACCCTTAATTGTTAAGTTTAGATTTAGTCATTTCATAGTTCAATTCCAATTGTTTAAATAAAATTGAATTGATACAAAGTTAGTACTTGGATATTATTAGCAATAATTCTCCTTGGGAACGATACTCTACTTATCACTTTATTACTTGTTGATCGTGTATACTTACACGTAAATTGTCAATACCAAATTTGGACAACACATGTTTTATAGTGGTTAAATACTAGAAATGCTACCTTACAATAGTTAACTTTTCCTATCACTTGGAAAGTCAACTAGTAGGTCTGATGTATATTAAACCGTAACACAACAACTTCATAAGTTAGTTGGTAGGTATATGTATATTAAATCATAACATATCAACTTCTTAGGTTAGTTGGTAGGTTTGTGTATATTAAACCATAATACAACAACTTCTTAGGTTAGCTAGTGGTATACATGACAATTAACTAATTCAAGTAAACCAGAAGGTCAAGCTATTCATGAGGATTACCAGAATTACTCAATTGGCAATATTATATTGTGCATCAGTTAAACAACCCGAGTAATCCAGAAGGTCAGGCCATTCAGGAGAATCACTTAGGTTATTAACCTGACAATTTTTATATCCTATATCAGTTAAATAACCCCAGTAATCCAGAAGGTCAAGCCATTAGAAGGATCACTTAGGTTATTAATCTAACAATTGTACCTTGAAACAGTAAAATATCCTCAGTGCACCAGAAGGTCAAGCCATTCAAATAGAGCACTTTAGATATTCCATCGGCAAGTTGATGATTCATTGATGACATAATTCCGGGCTACGTAGTAACACCCAATTACGTACATCATTGTATCATGTAAGAAGTTCATAATAATATATAGTATAATATATAATATTAAATATCGTTTGGTGTTCATATCCATGAGCATATTTGAAATATAAATATTAATAAAGCATAATAAAAATATCAGCATTTTCATCATTTAACCAATATTATACATATGTTTACCCTCACTAAAGGGTAAAGTAAACTACTCACACTTCATTGCTATAAACGAGCAAGAAGTGCGGATAATTCTCACTACAATAATAAATAAAATTTAAAGACTGACACTTCTTTCGCAAGGAATAATTGAAATACAATCACCCTTAATATCAGTTAAGACACAAAGGTGGCAGCAGTTCAACTCACCAAGTAGAAAGACATAAATGAAAGGTAGAACTACAGAATTTTGGCTGGAGAGTAGGACGGACCGGATCTTGAATTGTTCTATGACTTTCTCTCTTTTTCTCTTCTTTTCACTTTCTTTGGAGCTCCCATTCCAACCGGCTGAAGATGAAAGAGGGTCACACATATTTATAGGCAAAATCAAGCAGGACGTGGGGATCAACTCAAACCGCCTAGGGCCACCATCTGGACGCCATCACCACCGTTCGGACGGTGGTGCTTTGTTGGAAAAGTTGTGCTGATCCTCTTGTTGTGCTGGCTGTTTCTTGGTTATATTACACTTACCTCCCTTCTTGTTTCAAGCTTTGATAGATTGCTTCTCATAATTTCTGGAAATTCTGCACAAAACCCTGAAATTTGAAACAATATACACATAAAACCCTAATTTATGCACAAACCCTAATTTATAGTTTTTAACTGATTTATCTTATATAATTACCTTATTTAACTATATTAATTTACATATTAATTAGGGTTAATTAGTTAGTTTTGTCAACCTAGTAGAAGTGCCTCAAGGATGTTGGACCGTTTTGTTTTTTAACTCTAACTCATTGTATTGAAGTTTTGTAAATGATTAATGAAAAGTACCACATTTGTTTCATTTTATCTTGCCCAAATCTATTTCTTTAATTGAATTGTGATTCTTGCATTTTGAATTTTTGTTGATTTACTTGTATGAATGAGTTGGCCTTCGTACAACTAGTGGTTTGAAATAAAGTTTGCTATGGACTAGCAAAACTCAAGTTAGGGGGTTTGATTAGCACAAAATATTGCACATTATATATGCTTTTATACCCTTTTTATGCTTGTATTTGTGGTGAAAATGGGAGAAAATGCAATTAAGCAAACAATTAATAATGATGTTGTTGTATGATTGTATGTAAAGAGTTGAAAATGGCTTGAGTTAAGGCCCCATCGTAGTTCTTAAAGTCAATGGAGATGAGGGGTGGCTTAAAGGGAGGCTTGGAAGGTGATGAATTCAAGAAAAAGGAAATCTGGAGAAAACCTTCTAGAAGGTTTGCACATTGGACTACCTATGCCCCTGCCAAAACCTTTTGAAAAATTGTGCACAGTAGAAGAAGACCTTCCGGAAGGTTTGCTTAGACCTTCTAGAAGGTTTGACTCACTGGACAGTTTTTTCCTTTGCCTCTGCCAAAACCTTTAGGAAGGTTTTGCCCATAAATGTCAGACAGCTTGCAACTCAAGCTCTGGCACTTGGGGGTCCCACCTATGATCCTCCCACTTGTCCCTTGACATATTCTACATATATACATGCCTCCTTACCCCTAAATTCAGCATTGGAAGATAGAGGATGGGAAAGGAGGAGAGAGAAGGAAGGAGGCATGGTGGGTGCAGGCTAGGCTTGTCCTAGCCTATCCAAGCCATCAACTCAGCCCCCTATTGATGGGAAGCCTCTCACACAGGCTATAGGATTTGCATGGATGAAAATGCAAAGGAGTCTTGACATTTTTATTGAATTATTCAGCATATAAAGAGAGAAACTAAATGAGGAAGACATAGTTTTAGAGGGAGAAGTTGGATTTTTGCATTTCTTTCACCCATTTCACTTGTAATCAATTGTAAGACTCTTGTAATCCTCATTTATTGCACTTTAATTCATTTATTTCAAGTTTATTGCAATTTTAGTTATATATCTTTGATTCTACCATTGTTGCATTTATGTTTTTCACTTCAAGCTTTTTAGTTAGGTATTAAGTGCACTTATCTTTGTAGTTTCACTTTTTTTTTACAATAATACAAGTTTTAATCTTCATTTCTTCACAATGTCTGATTAACCCTAATTAGTATATGAATTAGAATCATTAAAAAAGTCAAATTGGCAAAGATAAAATAACTAAAACTATCAATTAAGGTTTGTGTGAAAACTAGGGTTTTAAATGTGTTATGTATAAAATTTTTAGGGTTTTATGCAGAATTGCCAGAAAATAGAAGGAAAAATTTAACAAAGCTTGAAAGATTAAGGGATCAAAGTATAAATCAACCAAGAAAAGTTAGCACAATAGAGGATCAACATCCAGGCACCATTGTCTGGACGGTGGTTCTTGGCGCCTGGACGATGACCCTTGGCGGGTGCGCTTTATCTTCCACCTCATGCTTCTTTCATTTCCTATATATATAAGCCATGCATAGCCTTCTGATGGAGAGCCGGCCAGAGAGGGGAGCTCCAGAGAGAAATCCACAGAGAAAAAGAAAGAGAGAAAGAGAAAGTAATACCCAATTCGGTTCATCCTACCCACAAGCCGAAACTCTGTATTTTTACATTTCTGTGTTATCTTCCTATTCGGAGAGTTGAACTGTCGCCACCTTTTTGTCTTAACTAATAAGAAAGATGGTTGTATTTCAGTTGTTCCTTGTGGAAGAAGTGTCCGAGTTTGAATTTTTGTAAAACCCGGGAATAATTTAAACTTTTTTCGAAAAAATGGCAAAATGGTATTTTGTCACTATAATGCGGGTTTAAAATCTATATTTTTCTAGAGCTCGAATGACTCAACGAACCTCACCATTGGATTCATATCGCGAAATTGAACTGTCATATCAATTTTCATCAAATTCTGAGATAATCAGATTTTACACGTTTTACAAGACAACTAGATGACGAATGACCTCACAACCGTACCCAAAAATGAGTTTTATAAAATTTCTTTATAATTGAGTAAATGTTCAAATAAAATTAATTTGAAGTAAAACTAGAATTTAATTAAGTTATTTCAACTTAAAAACGGACCTGAAAGTAGTAAACGTGCGGAACAATGTGGACCGCACAATTAAAAAGTATAAATAGGGGCTAATATCTGAAAAATCAGATATTTTCACACCACTATGTCAACTGAGTTCCAACATTGAAGAGGATAAAAGAGGAAAGAGAGAAAACCTAGAATTTTTACCTTTCACCTTCGATCCAAGAAGCTCCGTCAGTCGGAATTACTTGGGCCAAGAACTAAAGTTAGTCTACGCGACGAGGGCTACGTCTACGTACCAAGAACGAGGGATATCACCGAAGATCCAAGAGGAGAATTTTGGAAAATCAAAGCCATGGAGTCGTGGTTTGTGCCTTAGGAGGCTTTCTACCTTTTATTTGCGCTCCAAGAGGTAGGGTTTCTCCTATTTTAGTTGATTTCTTACCTAGGATGTATTATGGAATGGGTAAGGGTATTGAATAAAATAGGTCATTTGACAATAGTTATGGACATGAGTACTGAAATGGCTTAAAATCAATTCCTAGCTTGGGTTGAGTCGGTGAAGACTCAGAGTACAGTGTATGAGTGAATCTAATCTTATTTCATAGCATAGCATGATAAATTCTAACATGAATTACATATTCTTGTATTGAAATGGATATTGGTTATGTATTGTTGCATGTGTACATTCATATGCACTCAGGTTAGAGAGTAACCTCTATAGGAAATATTCTACTAGGCATTGGCTCAACCTATACAGGAACACATTTCAGGTGTGGGGCATATTCTGGTGGATGACACACATTCGGGGCCTCGAGAGTGAAGAAAAGCCGATTTTTGACTTTTGAAAACAAGTTTTATGTAAAACTTAAGTTTAATTCCATTTTGACCTGTAACCATGTAAATGGCTCGTAATAGAACTTGTAGATATCAAGTTTTATGTGAATAACATCATTATGCATGTTTTAGATGAAAAATAGATGATTTATAACGGATTGGCATTAAAAAACAGTGAAAATAGGCTAAACTGGGCAGAGAGTACCGGTACAGTCTGGTTCAGCAAGCAGACAGTACCGGTACTCAGTACTGGTACTCTTTCCAAAACTTTGAAAAAAAAAATATTTTTGGAAGGAAGACAGTATCGGTACACAGTACCGGTACTCTCTCCAAGATCTTGAAATTTTAAAACTAAAGTGCAATACTTTTGGACTTTGATTTCCTTAGTACCAATGATACAAATAGACATTAAATGAGATGTATTGGAGCATATTGAGTCTTGGTTGAATTAAATGATAAAATACACACGAGTTATACGTGTTGGTTGAAATCTTGGATAAAGGGTTACTATTGACGTGATGTCGGATTGTTCAGCACTCACGAGTATTTTTGCAAGTTGACGGGTGGCCAACGGTTAAATAATGACCCCCAATTTTAGGGGCGTCATAACTTTGGTATTAGAGCTTAGGTAGTAGATTTTATATTGGCCTTGTGGGAAATGAGTCTATCATCTTCCATTGCAAGAGTAAGAGAGGTTGAGAGCCGATGGTGTAGCTTAGACTCTAGTATCAGTCACAGCTTTTGTATCAGAGCTTAGATAATAGATTTTATATTGGCCTTGTGGGAAATGAGTCTATCATCTTCCATTGCAAGAGTAAAAGAGGTTGATAGCCCATGGTGTAGCTTAGACTCTGATACCAGTCACAACTTACTATCAGAACATGAGTATTTGAATTACCTAGGGCTTGATGGGTATTGAGTCTAGACCATTGCATTCATTGTGCATTCATGTTATGTGTTTAATTGCTAAATATTGTGTGCTATATGTTATGTGCTACATGCTATGTGAAAAATATACATGGTCAAATGTATATGAAAAAAAAAAGGGAAACACTAGAGTTAAAAAACATAACATTGAGTTTCGAAAAAAGGAATGAACAGTGTAGTTCATGGTGTAAAAATCTACTAGTATGGGGTATACACACTACTAGTGAGACAAGGAGAAAAATCTTCAAGTTTAAAACTTGATTCCCTATCTTGGGATACTATGTGAGTATTCGATTACTATTTGACATGTGAGTAGATGGCAAATCGAGGAAGAGGACGCCGAGGTGGTGAAGGGAACAACTAATTAACCAACAAACCTTTGTAGAGGTTATTGGTGCGATAGCTGCTATGATTGCCCAAGCTAGTGCTACAGTTGCTAATGTTGCACATACAGGTGCAAATGTGGGCCAAGAAGACACGAGTAACCTCCAAAAGTTTAAGGCACACAATTCTTCGATCTTTCTGGGAGGGGCGGATCCTGTGGTGACTGACCATTGGTTTCGATAGGTGGATAAGATCTTAAAGACTATGGAGATCACCTCCAATGTCATAAAGATAACCCTAGCTACTTTTCAACTTGAGAGAGAATCCCAAGTGAGGTGGGATTGGGTCAAGACCTCAAAGAACTTGGAGGTAATGACATGGGCTGCGTTCAAGGAGCTTTTCATCGGCAAATACTTCCCAGTGGCTGCTAGACATGCAAAGGCCCGGGAATTCTTGGATTTGAGGCACGATGACGGTGATGGAGTACGTGGCTAAGTTCATCGAGTTAGCCCGTTTTGCCAATAATTATGTGGCCACAAACATAGCCAATGTGAGGAAGTTCGAGG